CAAAGAGAGATCTATCTGCTGGTTCATTCCCCAAATGGCTGCAATGGCTGGAGCTGGGCTGATCTGAAGCCAGAGGCCTCTTCTAGATCTCCCACATAAGCGCAGGTGCAGGGGCCCAGGGACTTGGGCCACCTTCCACTGCTTTTCCAGGCCACAGCAGGCAGCTGGATCAAAAGCAGAGCAGCCAGCAGCCAGGACTCAAACAGGCTCCCTACACGGGATACCAGTGTCACAGGCAGCAGCTTTACCTGCTATGCCACAATGCCTGCCCTAAACTGTCATTCTAATGTATAGTTTTTCCACAAATCTTTCCCAAAAAGCCTCAAACTCCACAAGAACACTAGTCTAACTCTGTAACTCCAGGGTTCAGCACATCCTATGTATTCAAATGTTGCTAGAAGAATGAATGACCAAGAAAAAGGTAAGATTTACTTTGACTATCATAAACAAATATGCCTAAAACATTGGCCATTTTTCCCCTTTCAGAAGGGGAAGAAGAAAGCAAAGATGAATAGATTGATTCTTCCATAAAATTATGTCTCCTATAGGTATTAAAAGCACAGAAAGGGCAGGTTGTGATGCAGCAGGTTAAGCCACCACTTGGAAGGTCCACATCCGATCAGAGCACCAGCTCAAGACCCAGTGATTCCACTTCCTATCCAGCTCCCCACCAATGCACCTGGGAAATAGCACATGAAGATTCAAGTACTTGAGTTCTCACCCCCAAGAGGGAAACCAAGATGGAATTCCAGGCTCTTGGCTTGAGCCTGGCCCAGCCCTAAGTTGTAGGCATTGGGGGAGTGAACCAGTGCATGGGTGATATCTGTATCTATTTCTATTTCTCTCTCCCTCTCTCACTGTGCCTTTCAAATTAATAAATATTTATGTATTTTAAAAAGGAAGAAAAGAAAACATCATCTGTATTCCTCAGGTCTGTACTTCTCATTCCCTGCACTGATATTCTTCCACTCCCACATGGCACTATTTCCCAAGGCCCATCTCTTCTAAGGTAAGAGCTACATCTCAAATGTGGGCTGCTTCCCTGGAGATGCTGACCAGATCTCCCCAACTGCCTTTGAAACACTCTGGGAGCCCTGAAGCACTGCAGAAACCTGCACCATTCCTGCTGTGAAGAACTCCAGCAGTACAGCTCCTACACATGCACACACACACGAACACACACTACTAGTGCAAAAAGTGCCCTACTAGTGCAAAAAGACCAAAAGCAGCCAACTGGATAACTATCTTTAACTCAGAGATCTTTAAAAAGTACCAGCAGCCAAGGATTTACAGGGTATTCATGTAAACAACACAGATGCAGATTCCATGATTCCATAAAATGCAGAATCATACCACATGAGTCCTGTACCAATCAGACATCGTAACCACAGATTTTCAGACAAAATTATCTCAGTAGGACCAGAACAGCAACAGAGTCTGGACACATGACTGAGCTGCTGCAGGTCTTGCTCAGGCCCCTGCATTTCTGCTGCACATGCTCAATGCTGCTTGGTCCCTGGCTTCTTGCTCCCACCTCCGACTATGTGCTAAAAAGTTCACCAAGCAGCTTCTGACTCATGAACATCTCATCGAGCCTCACAGGCTGTGACTGAAACAGGCTAGGAGAACTGCTGGAAGAGGACACAGGGCTGCCAGGCCCCCACAGAAGCAGACCCAAGGCCACTGGATGGGTGGGAAAGACAAGGGCACAACTGTGCCTTCCCAACTCCAGGGCAGTCATGGGTCCTGGGGACTATGTAAATGGATTAGTCCAACATGGGCGCACTCAACACCTGTGTATTGAATGCCTACTGAGCATCAGCCCTCCTGGAATCCGTTCCAATGACCCTGTGAGGTAGAATCTATCATTGCCCCATTGTAACAGAAGAGGAACATGAGGCTTGGAAACTCATCTTTCCACGACATCTCCCGCAGATACCAAACTCTTAACCACCTGGAAATGTGGTGTGTTCCTCAGTTTCATGGCACAAGTTCAAGGACAGAAACAATCAAGAAAGAAAAGCAATGTAAGTGCCCCGAAGTGAAAGAGAACTTGGCACCATCACGGACCTGAGAGGCCAGCATGGATGGGGCAGAGGAGGAAGCTGCATAAGGTCAGATTCAGAGAGGTCCCATGAGGACACTCCTGCTGGTGCCTTGGGACTTATTCTGCACCACCAGTCTCACTTCTCTGCTCACAAGGACTCACTCCCCAATTACGCAACACAGGCAGCATCATGCTATGTCACCATGATCAAGTCACTCAGCCTCTCTGAGCCCCAACTTCTGCATGTGAAAATGAGAATAATGTGTATGGAGCAAAAGCCCCACTGTGAAAAAGTGACTGCCTGTGGCATTCACCGAAGTAGAACCCAGAGAGGTTGACCCGCCTTTCATTTCCAAAATGAATTCCAAGATTATCAGGTCACAGGGAGGTGGGGGGGGGGTTCACAAAGACAAATAACAAATCATAGGAAACAGTGAGCAAAAATTAGTCAGTGAAAAATTGACCTATAAATGCTTTTCAGGGCCCCCAACCCCTGGGTCCTGCCTCAGGATACATAAGCTCTGTCCCTTGCAGCCAACTGCAGCATGGACCAGCAGATGGCAGACCTCTCTCTCTCCCTCTCTCTCTCTCTCCTCTCTCTCTCTCTCTCTCTCTGTGTGTGTGTGTGTAAATCCTAATTTCAAATAAATAAAAAATATCTTTTAAAAAAGGCATTTTTTTATTCAAAAAGGAAAACATACCAATAAATAAAATAATACATCAAGGGCATTACAAGAGTTTATTTAGAATTTGATTTTATATGCATTACCTAACCTATTAACACAGAATTTGAAAAAAAGTTTAACTTGGTCTTAGAAGAAAAAATTTTGGTGCCCATTCATTCTCTTTTTCCTTACAAACATTCTGTGTGGTATTATCTCTGACTTGCGCATGAGGTAATCTTAGTAATATATTTTTTTCAGACACTTATGTACCCACTCACACAAGGACTTGAAACACCTGTGATCTACGGAGTTCTCCACAGAACACAGGTCTACTTCCCAGTCACCACCTTGCACAGTCCTAGCCCTGCATTTAAAGCATGGATCATGTTGGAAACAGGCCCAAATCAAGTCTTCCACAAAGAAAGATCGAATACAGAGAGGTAGCATCTGAGGTCACTGTTGCCATTTTCTATGTGCATGTTATCATGCTGGTATATTTTCTCTCATTTCTCAATATTAGATAAAATTGAGAGAGTAAGTCCAACTATCCCCAATTGCAGATCACATGACTCTATATATAGGTGATCCAAAAGACTACTCTAAGAGACTATTGAAACTCAGAGTAGAGTTTGGTAAAGTGCCAGGATAGAAACTCAACATCCTATTTGTATACATAGACAATGTCATGGCTGAGAAAGGACTTCTAAGACCAGTACCGTCACATAGCTACAAAGAAAATAAAGGACTTTGGGATAACTTTAACGAAGGAGGTTCAATACCTGAGAATCACAAAGACTAAACAAAGAAATAGATGAGAACACCAAAACATACAAACAAACAAACAAACTGAGAAGCTTCTGCTCTGCAAAAGAAACACTCAGCAAAGTAAAGAGGAAACTATCGGAATGGGAGAAATTATATGCAAAGTATGCAACTGATAAAAGATAAACTACCAGAAACTTTCAAGAAACTCAATAACAGCAAAACAAACCACCCACTCAAGAAATGGGCAAGGAGCTTCAACAGGCATATTTCTAGAAAGGAAATCTAAATGGCCAACAAACACATGCAGAAATGCTCAGGATCACTAGGCGTCAGGGAAATGCAAATCGATACGACAACGGCCTTGAGGATGTGGGGAAAAAGGCACCCTAATCCACTGCTGGTGGGAATATAAACTGAAATCACCACTGTGGAAGATACAATGGAGATACATGAGAAATCTGAATATAGACGTACCATAGGAGCAAGCCATTCCAGCCCAGGGTATATACCCAAGGGAAATGAAATCGGCATACAAAAAAAGAGTTCTCTCTGCCCCCATATTTACTACAGCTCAATTCACAAGAGCAAAGATAAGCCATCAGCCAAAATGCCGATCACCTCAAGACTGAATAAAGACATTATGGGCTATGGACACCATACATGCGTCTGCAGACTGTATAGCCTGGCTTTTGTGCATCCTACTGCAATAAGCATAGGCCTGTGAAAACCTCTCTGTCTACACAATGATTTCATTTCCTTCAATATGTTCCCAGTAGTGGGTACACCCATACAGTTTTCAATGTTGACAGGACTCATTTCACACGAGAAACTGTATTGCTCTACAGGTATATAATACAGAATACAGACATCGGATCCATAAACCCAATTTTACCTTCAAACTGTCCTCCTAAACCAGGACACAGACACGCACTTTCGCTCTCCTTCCTCCCGACAACACTCTCAGTAGTCTAGAGCAGGGTAGCTGGGTCCTCAAAGAGCAAACAGACGGGAATGCAGGGCCATTCCGGGAGGACACGGAGCCAACTCTGCTCTTGTACAGCTGCTCGCAGCCTGGGGACCCTTCCAGTCCATCCGCACAGCACAACCGCGACTCCACCCGCACCTTCGGGACCCAAGAACAACAGGCACGCCTGCAGCCAAGATCCCCAGAAGGAAACCGCAACAGCCGCGCGTCACTCACCTCCAAGGGCACCTGGTCTGCTTGGCGGCACTGAGGTCCGTGAAGGCCGTTGCTTCCGGAAGGGGACGAAGAAGAGAACCGCGCCTGGGAAATGGCGCGATAGCCTCGAACCCGCACCCTCGCCTGACCCTGGGGCCGCTGGTTCTCCCTCAGGCTCAGGCTTGGCCAGCAGCGTCGAGGACAGCTCCTCTCCTCCTGGCTTTCACAGGTTCTCGGGCAGGAGAGGATGCGGCGCTGACTCTCACCTGAGCACCGCGGAGTTGGGGTCAGGCGTGCGGGTGCACTTCCGGGTCACAGCGCCAGGCGCAGGCGCACTCGCCAATGGCCGTCGCCATGGTGCCCAGGGACGCATCTGCACACTGCTGCATCCAGCGTCCGGAGCCCCAGGGTCGCTTCCAGTCTTCCTCATCTACATAGTGAGTATTTGGCTTACTGGGCATTTTTGGTTCTTGGAGCAGGTCATGTAGTTGGTGCTGTTCCTGCCTGAGCAGAAGCTCTGGGCTGCTCCTTTCCCCAGCTCCCCTGCTGTTAAGAAGTCAGGGGATTCTTCCTCCTCTCCTTTTGATTACCTGGCTGAGATCTCAATGAGATCATTTAGTTAGGCTCCTAGTGTCCCTTAGCTAGCTGATCTCTCCCTGTGTTGTGCACTCCTGGGGACAGGGATCCTGCTGTCTTTCTTTCCCTGTAAGTCGGGCAGTCTGTGTGGAGCTGAACGACTTCACATTGTCTTTTCTGAAGGTTTAATAACCCAGGCAGAGTGAGAGCCAGGAGTTAGAGGACTGATGTTTCTCTTCAAGAGATGGAATCTCGCTGAGTGGTGTCAGGGAGGGTCTTCCTCACAGGATGATGGCTGCTTAGGCAGTGTCTGCGTGCTGGGGGGAGTGCAGTGAAATCTGGGCACGTGGGGGAGGAGTGGCAGACCCCCTGACGTGGGGTGAGTCTCTGAGCCTTGGCTTCCTAATCTGTGGAGAAGGGATGGCAGTGACTGTGTGTGTCCCGAGTTTGCACTGTCCAGGATACCTGTCGCTGCTGCCACGGTCATCTCAGGTCTAGGAATGCCCGGCATTCAAACCAAGGCACCTTGCAGCTTCTGTCCACCTCTGACTTTTTATGGTGCTGGATTCTGTACCTGGATGGAGGGTTGTAGCAGACCCCAAGTTTTCTTTGTAAAAGCTTTTTGGCTTTTTGAAAATTCAAGTTGAAGCATTTAAAAAAATGTTTGTTTATTTATGTAAGAGGATGAGTGACAGAAAAAAGAGAGAGCAATCTTCCATCCAGTGGTTCACAAATACAAATTATGTATTTTCCTTTTAGAAATCTTGAAAAATAAAAATGGATAGGAAAAAATAATTCCTCATCCTGCATCTTAACTGTGCATAGACAGGCACACTTAACATTTTATGTGTCTATTTAGTATTGTTTATTCGTTTTAAAAATTGGATTGATTTTAAAAATTTATTGTATAAATCTGTATTCTGATTTTTGAAGTAGCATAAGCCTTTTCCATATTATGAAGATTTTTTATAAATGCCACTTTTATTATTTTTTAAAGCTTATTTATTTGAGAGGCATATTTAGAGAGGAAGAGACAGAGAGAGAGGTCTTTCATCCACTGGTTCATTCCCCAAATGGCTGCAACAGCTGGAGCTAGGTTAATCCAAAGCCAGGAGCCAGGAGCTTCCTCCAGATTTCCCGCATGGATGCAGGGGCCCAAGCACTAGGGCTATCCTCCATTGCTTTCCTAGGCTATTAGCAGGTAACTGGATTGGAAGTGGAATAGCCAGGACTTGAACTGGTGCCCGTATGGGATTACAGCACTGTAAGTGGAGACTTAACCTGCCCCTCAATGTCACTTTTAATCACTGCATCTGTTTGGAATGTTTGTGTGCCATAGGTTTTATAACAACTAGTTCATAGTCAATAGATTCTAATTATTTATCACTATTCTAAAATTATTTTTATTAAAGATTTATTTATTGGGGCCTGCACTGTGACACAGTGGCATATCTGCAATGCCACCATCCCATATGGGCATCCATTGGAGTCCCAGCTGCTCCACTTCCAATCTAGTTCCCTGCTAATGTGCCTGGGAAGATGGCCCGAGGTGCTTGGGCCCATGGATCCACATGGAAGACCTCTAAGAAGCTCCTGTCTTCTGGCTTCATACCAGCCCAGCCCTGGCTTTTGTGGCCATATGGGGAGTGAACAAGCAGGTGGAAGCTATCTATTTCTCCCTCTCTCTCTCTCTCTCTAATTCTGATTTTCAAGTAAGTAAATGAACAAACCTTAAAAAAAGAGATTTCTTTATTTATTTGAAAGGCAGAGTTAGAGAGAGAGGAAGAAAGAGAGAAAGAGCTCTTCCATCTGCTTATTCACTCTCTGAATGGCTGCAATGTCCAGAGCCAGGCCAGGCAGAAATCAAGAGCCTGAACCATCTGGGTCTCCCTTGTGTGTGGCAGGGATCCAAGTACTTGGGCCATCTTTCACTGTTTTTCTGGTGCATTAGCAGAGAGCTGGATCAGAAGTGGAGCAGCCAGGACTACAACCATGCTCCTGTGGGATGTTGGCATTGCAGGCAGTGGTTTAATTCACTGTGCCACACTGCCAGCCCCAAGTCTTTGTTACTAAGGTAATTTCTTCATCTGGATATTATGTTAAGATCCAGAGAAATACTTAAAATTTTTCTAGGTAGTGCTTCACACAGATGATTACATAATAAGCTGACAACTTCACATAATTGCCTTGCCTTTGGTGGACCATGTTTACGCACTTGAAAGGAACAAGGAAAATATTTAGTCTCTTGATCTACTTGAATGATTGCTTATCAGGGCCTCCAGCCTGTCGTAGGTAAATGAAGTGACAAGCAGACAGGAGCTGCTGTTGCTGGGAGGGAGGAAGGCAGGGTTCATCTCTGTTTGTCAGTGTTCTGTGAGGATGCAGGTGTGTCGTGGCCTGTCTTCATGGTAGTGACACGCATCTTCCTCACTTTGTGTAGTGGAACCATCATGTCACAAGGACGTATGTGCAGAGTCCAGGAAAGCCTAGTTGATTTTTCTTGCCCATGTAAGGTGCTGAACTCGCTGGCCATGGTGATTGGCTATTTTGGGATATCTGTGTTTTCTTCCACACTTTACAAATTGGGGCACCATGGGTGGGCAGTGTGACAAAATGAACAATGGAGCTCATGGCTCTGAGTCTGAAGAACCTCAAGAACCCTGTGAAAGCCATGTCACTTTTCCAGGTCTGTGAAATGGGCGCTGTGATTCCCCAGGGATGCACTCTGTGCTAGGACTGGAACGGGCTTGATGGGCTGGGTTAGAACCTCAACTCTGCTCATTTGCAGTGTGACCTTGGGAAAGGGACGGGGTGTCTCAGGGCCTAGTTGGATGGTCCCTTGTGTGGGGCTGGGCATGATTTTGTAGTAATTGGGTGAGTGCCAATTCTGTGTGAGGCAGTGCTGGGGAAGCCCCTGGTAGTATACTCATCCTATGGGGTCCTGTCTAGGTACCCATTAAGCAGCACTCAGGACCGAGGAGCCTTGCTGTTGCTCATCCTGCTTCCACCCAACTCTTCTTGTTGCATGGAGTCCTGCCCCTGCTGTTTGCTTTGGAGATCACAAATGACCAGTCCACCTTTGTCACATTCATGCCCATTTCTCTTCTTGCCAGAGAACAACCCCCCGACTGTTGCCTTTTTTAAAGACTTATTTATTTAAAAGACAGAGTTAGAGAGAGAGAGAGAGAGAGAGAGAGAGAGAGTGGGAGAGAGAGAGAGGTCTTCCATTACCTTGATCATTCCCCCAAATGGCTGCAATGGGCAGGGCCGAGCTTAAGCCAGGAGCCAGGAATTTCTTCTGGGTCTCCCACATGGGTGCAGGGGCCCATGCACTCAGGCTGTCTTCCACTGCTTTTCCAGGTACATTAGCAGGGAGCTGGATTAGAAGTGGAGAAGCCGGGACTTGAACTGGTGCCCATGTGGGATGCTGGCACTGTGTGCAGTGGCTTTGCCCGCTTTGCCACAATGCTGCCGCCCCCCATTACCTTCTTGAGTCCTGATCCCGTAGGGTTCTTCTCACCCTCATTTCCCCACTGCCCTTGACCTCTGTGTTTCCCAGGTGTTGTCCTTGGGCCCTGCATTTTCCTTCTGTCACCTTCTTTAGGAAATGCTCTCTCTGCTGGTCTTCCTGGTGCTTGGAAGTCCTCCCTGTGCCCAGCGCACTTTCCTGGTGGCTGTGCCACAGCTTTTGGGTGCTCTTCATCTCCGGGTGGTCCCCCAGGGCCCTGTCTGCAGATGGGGTCACCTTGACCTTCATCTTCTGTACTCCTGCCTTGCTCAGGACTTCTCCTACCAGTCCAGAGCTGTTTCCTTTAGTGTCAGCCCTGTCTCCATCTTTGTCTTCAGCTCCTGTGTCCATTTGAACATTGAATCCTTTTTGCTGTAACTCCCTAGTAATAAGGAAGTTACTTAGATCTGTGCATCTCAGATCTCCAGAGCCTTGTACTGTGCTTGGCACCCACTGTCTCACAACCATTTTAAGATTTATTTATTTATTATGAAGGTCTGAGTTATATAGAGAGAGGGAGAGACAAAGACAGAGAGAGATATTCCATCTGCTGGTTCATTCCCCATATGCCCACAATAGCCAGTGCTGGGCCAGGCCAAGCCAGGAGCCAGGAGCTTCAACAGGTCTCCCACGGTTTTAGCAGGGGCCTGAGCACTTGAACCATCTCTCCACTGCTTTTCCCAGACCCATTAGTAAGGAACTTGATCCAAAGTGGAACAGCTAGGACTTGAATCGGTGCCAATATGGGATGTTGGTGTCATAGGTGGCAGCTTTACCTGCTACACCACAGCACCGGCCCCACTGTGTGACAACAGTTGATGGTGTAGATATTTGGCTGGACTCACACCTAGGTATTTCCCATGTCCCCCATTACCTCCTGCTTCTTAGACACTCCCTTGATTTCTGTCTGAGCATCGATGTGTTGCCCTGTGTGGAGGCTTGGGTTACTCTCACTGTGTAGTGCTCTGGGGGTTTGCCCAGGGTCCCCATGATGGTCCTACGATGGGTCCCTGTGAGAGCTGGGCGTTTGTCTCTTCAGCTGTGTGAGACTGCTAAAAACGCCAAGCTGCTTTTGCTGAGTGAATTTGTGTTCTTTCAGTTCTTGCCTGGGCTTTGGTGTCAGTGGTTTGCATGGAGGGGAGTACTCCCTCCTTCTCTGTCTTCTGGAGCACTCGTGTAAGCAGTGAGCTTGGTAACACTCCCTCCTGGAATGTGTGAGAGGACTTCGGAGTGAAGCCATCTGGGGCAGGACGCTCTTTTTGGGGAGTTTTGATTACAGGTTCAGATTCTTTAATAAATGCAGGGCTATTCAGACTGTCAGTTTGTCTTCTGTCATTTTTCCTTGAGGAATTT